GGCTGCGGGGCGGCTTTTCACTCATCATGGCTTAATTTGTCACAGGCCCCGCAGTCTGCATGTTGTGTGAGGCGCCCTTAGAGGCACTGCATGGCCCTTGTGAGCCCTGCAGGAGGACACTCCATCCCCATTAACTGCTCTGGCCAGAACATACATGTAACAAGGCTATCTAAGAGTAAAAGCTAATTAGACCAAAATCCTTTGGTCACGAGGTCAAGGTACAGCATAAATAGGGTTGGTACAGCCCCCATAAAGTGTGCTATAAAGGTGCGTGATCTTTGATCGGGGTGAGGCACCACAGAACGGCTCTTTGAACTGGGCGTCTGCTCACTCTTTGGACTTCCTTTGAAGGGTGCAATTAGCTGTGATGGCGGTTTCATGATGGGAGATAGCTTTCAGCAAACAACCTGCCCGCTCTCTATTCACATCAGCACCTGAGGGTCAATAGTTACTTAGTTCAACTGCAGTACACCGAGTCCACTTCCTTGCTAATGCTTTTTTATTTCCATTTCAGTTACACTTTTAGGTGATGTCGTTATCTCGTGTGCTCCCCATATGGCATGGATGTGCTGTACAGCAAAGGCTTCGGACAGCAAATCATAACTGTACTGTGTAGCGTGGCCATGTTTGTTTAGTCTGAAAGCTTTTTTGGGAAACATCCAACACCAAATAGTGGCCAGATCCAGTGAATCATTCCCATTACTCTTGTTTTCTATAGGTAGTCCTAGGGACAATAACCCTCTGCCCTGAGAGAGACAGATGATAACTGTGGGATGAACAGTTTAATGATTGCATCAGGCCCCTCTGTAAGTTACTATTTTCTATAGAAACCACACACGCCACTGAAGTAACTAGAAAGTACAGTACGATACTAATAGCATCTTGTGCTAGAGAAATGCAGGGGGTAGGGGACATCAGACAGAAAAATGCTGACACCAGGGCTATCAAATGCAAAGAAAGACAAATGAAAAACTCAACACAGATCTTGTATTGTTGTGGTTAAGGCCTTTAAGTACTATTGTAATAACAAAAATTAGTCACTAGTTAATAATTGCATGTATACTGCAAAAAAGCAACCTTCTGTTCTTCCAGAAAACTATTTACAAATAGACTACTTATCAGCCACCTGCAGTTACAAAAGCATGACCATAGATTCTAATGATGCATTTCCAATGGTGATTAGAACGATTAAAAAAACATTTCTAATGGTTTCTAATCTATATTTGAAAACCTAACAAGCCAGTGAACATTTTAATTAAACTTTGTAATTAACACAAAAGTTGGAAGTGATATGGTTCCATGGAAAAATACTACACAGGGTGAGCAAAGATAGAGATTGCTTAAAAAAAACCCAAACCAAAATCAAGAACAGAATGGAGTAGGAGACAAAATGGAGAGAAGGAAGAAAGCTGTTAAATTATTCAACGGCCTCTAAATTGTCCATGGAATAAAAAGTCATGGGTTTACATAACATAGGACATGGAAGTCTTATTGTTCTCATAAAAGTCGGGTCATAAAATTCAGCCAATTAAATCTTTACTGTCTTAACTCTGCTGTTTGTAGAACAAGGAAATAATTTGTATATTGCTTTATAGATTTATGTTGAGTAGTTTGGGGGGGGGAGATACAGTAATTGCTCGTGGAGTGCTCTACTTACAAGAAAAAAACCTCACCTGTGCAGGATACAGATTATTTTTAGGGACAGTCTGAGAAAACACAAAATTGTCCCAAGAACTTCAACAATACTCAATCTTTTTGAAGTGCATAAAAATATTTTGATTTCTCACATTATGTGAAAATCCTCCCCAGAAATCTATATTTAAAAAAAAGAGCAGCTAACAAAGCAAAACATTCTATTACCATTGCTATTATGCTTCAGCACAGGATGAGAGAAGCAACAAGCTGTGACTGATAGCAGTCACACTGCTTAATGCGCTACTGGAAGACACCACTGAAAAGTAGTTAAGAACAAAAATTACATGAAAATCACTTACACTTATTTCCCTAATGTTGACAGATACTTAGGTCATAGTATTTACAGACCACAGAAATGATTTACTGAAGACCAAACTCATTTAATTCATTCATCAACTCAAAGTACAGCACTTTTTGTTTTGTTTGATACAGTCCAGTAAAAATATGGAAATACAGAATAACTTACAAAAATATTTTAAAATATTTCTCTATTAAAATATTTAAAACTTGTATCCTTCAGAGCACTGGATTTTTGTGGTTAGATGCTGTCGAATCATCTTATAACGTCATTCCTTAAAATGAAAGCTAAGAATGTATTCTGAAGTCTTGTAGTTCCTCTCACTCTTAAACATAAATGCTGCTGAGTCATCCTTACTTGATAAAAAAATATTTACACTGCATCTGCACACAAGTATTGGGTAAAATAAGTTTTAGCTTTTTTTTTTCTCAGCATCAATAAATCTGAAGAAAACACAAAGCTTCTGAAGCCAAGCTACCTTAAAATTCAGGAGACAGCTTTACTAAGTTTTGTCTTTGCTGCAGCAGAGTAACCTAAACCACTTCACTATTACTCACTCATAGGGACTTTTTCCAATTAGCAGTTGTTTCACTTTTGCTTTCTTCCTCACAGAAAGTAACATTGTAAAAGAAACTATAATATATTGTGAAACTGCTTGGAAGGGGACACATACAGAAAATATCCACAAAAGACTCTTCTACCATTCAGTCTCTTCATAGAGTCATTCATAATTTTAATCTGTCATTTTCTCTTTGTTAAAGCAGATGTCCCTTATAGCGTGTATCTAGATATGTTTAAAAATCTGGCTAACTGTGCGGTACATTTGAGCTTGCACATGAACTACTGTGCACAAAAAGAAGAAATTAACATTTTGTAATTAGTTTGGGATAATGTAAGCGTCCTAATTCTAGTAACTTTTTCGAAATTTAAACATGAACAATACTTAAATAAAACAGAAATTATCTCATTTCCAATTCCCTCTTAGTTATGCTTAATTCTTATGTTCTAATCTTGCAGTCTCGAATATACCCTTAAATAACCTATTAGACTCCTCAGTGGGTTAAGGTGAGTGCACAAGTCAGTTTTAGTATTAGCAGTAGAATATTAGTTTTGACTTAAATTGTCATCGCATCTAATGTATAAAATGAATGCAAGTATACTTTATGACCACATGTTGCCATACAAAGACATCCTGTGGCAATGATGACTGTTTGGTCTGTATATAGTATAGAGAGGGAGCAGACTAGGAATCCCAATTTAGACGGGCTTTTGGGTAATCTCCATTTATGGAATTTACATGGAATGTTGTAAAAATTTTAAATTTTTTATTAAAAATATATAAAATTACAAAATTTATGTATTTTGAGAAAAACAAAATTCTACAAAAAGCATGAAGGCTTTTTCCATCTATAAGTACCATCTGAATATTCAACATTTGACACCAAATGCTTACTGAAAATTAATATTTGAGACAGATTTTTGGACTGTGTGGATGTTGTATGCCAACTTCTAAGGCAACATGAAACTCCTCATCCAGAGTCCAAAAAGTGTAGGGAGACCCTAAAAATGTAGCAGAAGCATTTCCGCACACTGATTTCAGTAGTCAAGTTTGTGCAGAAGTGATTCCACTAGATTCATAGGGTACCTTTTTGAGGCAACAGAAACTTGTCACTTCGTAAGCTTTCTGACATTTTCCAGCTCTTCTATAGGTTTCCATTTCTGATGAATTGTTAATAGCTGGAAGAAAGTCAAAGGAAAATATGAAAGAAATTAGCAAAATCCCAGTGAGCATTTATTCCACTCCCACCCCTCCCCATACCATGCATCAAACTTATCAGTGAAGAAGGATTTCTAGTAGCTTTACCTTTTCCTTTCAGAAGTAAACAGAAATAGCACCTGATGACATATTTAATTTGTTGAATAGAATAATCTGGATATTAAACAAGTAATAATGCAAAATAATTTTATTTTTCCTTATCCTAGATGCTCTACTAAACTAAGATTTTTTTTTTTCCTTCAGGCTGCAGCATTCAAACCCATTCTTAGTCAATTTTGTAATTCAGGAACAAGGCAAGGGTAAACAGCATTTCCTCTATACTCCAAATTTCCACTGTTACCAGTGGAATTGAGTAATAGATGTTGGGGGCGGGGGGGGAAGAAGGAAACACCAACCAGAAGTACACCGTAAATTCAGGATAAGAACTAGAATGTAATAGCTGAATCCCTATCATTAAGTAATACAGGGAAGATATTTTACATGAAGTAATGAATTAAGCAGTTACTTCCACTTTTAGATGTACGCCAGCTTTACATTTGTTTCCTCATCGATATTTTGCTAGTTCTTACACATTTAAATAAAGTTATTCATTGTGTTGGAAATGTTCACTATTTGTACTGACTATATTATTTGTACAAATTACCTTCTGAGGCTTGGTAGGATCGACAGTTTCCCATGGTTCTGGATTGCCACTCTTGTTAATGCTTTAAGGGGAGATAAAGCAAAACAGGTACTATGTTTTAGGGTGTGATCTTGCACACATTTTTCTTATATGAGCAGTCTATCGTCAGTAGAACTATTTTTGTAAGTAGTTCCCTTAAACACAGGTTTACAGGTTTGGGCATTTCTGTTTTAAATTCTGGGTAGGAATCAATGATGGCCTGCTCTATTTGCAGCTTTCAAAGCACCAAACAAACCAACATTGTTCAAGTATAATGTGTTATCGTAAGGGAAGCAAGCTGAAAAATCAAAACTGAATAAAGAAACAGAGAAAAAGTTAGGGGATTCTTATCCTGACAGCTACAATGCCTATTCCAATCACTTTAAAGTAAATAGAAAAATAACCCAAAGCTTAAAGAGTGTAAGACTTAGCTCCAATTATTAAAATATTAACTTATTATAAGTTCATATTATCAAATGCTGTTCTTTATATACAAGACAATAGCCTGGTTGCAACATAACTGCATGTCATCTACCTATCTGATCATTTGAAATTCTTCATAAGAACATCTAAAACCTATTACACCTAAAGTAAAGAAAAAATATAATCTATTAAATCAAATTTAGGAATTAATTTGGACTACGCTCCAAATTAATTAATTTCTTCAGTATTGACAATCTGCAAATGCCTTACTCGTTACTAGTACTCTGGAACATCCACATGGATTTTTTTTTTTTTGTGCATAACATGATGGTCAAGTACGTCTGTTGAACAAAGATTAGGGTAAGCTCCAAGCAATAAGTATTTTGCTTACATCACATCAGATTTGCTGAATATGGAATACACAGAAAAAGAGAGCGCCCCAACTGCTGCAAAGGACACCACTCCAACCAGGGGAATGAGCTGAAAAACATAAAATGGAGAAAAGAGTTTAAGAATAGCGTCCTGGCTACAGAGCCATGAATGGGGGGAGTGAGAGCTACAAGGAATTAAGGCGTGATTACCTGTTAAGGTATAGCACCTCTAGGTTACTGTTCACACCACCTCACCCTCAGTGCGTGACTTTCGCCTGACACGCATCCCCCGCTGACACCATTTCCCCTACGAGGCGCTCGTTATTAAAGGGAACCCCTCTGCACCCGCTCGAGCCCGCCGGCATCCCCTGGCCCCCGGGCGTTATCGCAGGACCAACGTCTCTGGCAAACTTACTTCTTTTTTTGCTTTTAGTATCTGGAAGAAGCTCGTGATCATCCTCGCTGCGGCTGCGGACCTGGAACAAACGGTTCCCTGTTACCGCACCCC